GGAGCCCAGGGCGGGCAGGGCGCCCCAAGGCCCTCCTGGGGGTTGGTCGGGGGCCTGCGCGCCCCCCGCCGCTCCAGGGCCAGGGCGCGCGTCGAAGAGCAGCCCCGGAGGCTCGAGGACGTTCCGTTGGCACCCGGCGTTCCGCGAGCCAAGCGACTAACGGCGCATCATTTGAATCGCCGACCCGCCTCCGCCTCCTCGGCCCTCCGCTTTCCCCACGCAGAAGGCGAAGGCGTCCGTTAGCTGCTGCGGCACGGGATTCTTCTCCACGCCGCTCGGTCCCGGGCGCAGGAAGGAGAGGTCTCGGCCCAGGCGCTGGCACTGCGGGAGTCAGAGCTTTGCCCCCGTCATGCCCTGGCTGGATAACTTCTGTGGGTGCTTCAGGAGGGCAAAGGTAAGGCGTTGACTGCGCGGGGACCGCTGTGAATTGGCAACCCCGCTTCCCTGGCGCTGGCGCTGGCGCTGGACGCGGTCTGGGCGCGGGTGCCGAGTGAGCCAGCCGGGCAGGAGTCGGCTGGCTGCCTCCTTTCCGCCTGCTTGCTTAAACGTTAAAACGCTTGCTTTTAACTAGTTAAAAACACAGCTTCATTTGATCTGAAAGTTCTGATTTGAAACATGACCATACTGTTAGACGTAATTAAGGATTAAACACCTCAAGGTACTGGTCGCTGTAAGTTTTATAACTTCTCCAAAGTACCTGTTGCTATGTTCATTTCTGCAGTCGGCTAAGGGCGCAACTTTGGGGCTGCCTTGACATCCTGAGGGCAGCATTTGGGTCTCCACACCTGACCCCTGCGTCTCTGTTAACCTGTGCCACGGAGCTTGGCACTGAGACAGCCATCTGCAGTGTCCTTTTTTAAAGCTCCCCAAAGATCTCCCCCAAAGTGAGACAGAGATCACATAAATCCAGAATGGGGATCCTCTGGTGAGCAGACCTGGAGTAGCAGTTCAACATGCACGCTGCCCATTGATGGTGAGAGACCCTGAGTTGCTCTGAAAGGAAGGAAAGGAGGCAGGCAGGCAGGCGCTTGGGTCGTGCCAGCCCTTTAACCTGGAACGCTGCTTGGTTCACATCACATGCTTAATCCTAAACTGTAGGAAACAAAGAACAGTTGTTGTGCCTAAAACAATAACCATGCTAGGGCTTAGTGTGATGGTTAATATATATTGTGTTATTCCCACAATGCACTGAACCATAAACTACCCAGCCTCATTTTAGCCTGTCTTAGTATATTGTGGGAACTCAGCCTGTTTTTCTGGGAGATGTTTCCAAGTGCAATGTGTGGCTCATCATAGATACTTTGCCAGATCAAAAACTTCTGAATAAAATTCACGTGAAAATATGCAGAAAATCTTTCCTGCCTGCTGAGTAGCCACTTCACCACTGCACATCTGGAACAAGGGAGCTGGACTTTTGGGTAACCGAGCGGGCACCTAGGCAGAAGTGAGCAGCAACACAGGATTGGGAATGAAGCTGAGATTCCAAGCATTGTCCTTCCAACTTCTTCCTCTGTTCTCCCATCACAGAAAGCAACTCCCTCGCTAAAGATACTTCCAGCACAGATTGTACAGCTGTCATGAAAGAGCCCACTGACTGCCCATAAGATAGCTGGAAATACAACTTTTATACAGCACTTGGGGGGAAAAAAACCCAAAGCTACTACCGAAAAGAGCAGTTCTGCCTCTGTTGCGGTGATCTGAAGGGAATGCCTTTGCTGCTGTGCATGAGTCTCACGCCCAGCGGTGATCCCTGTGCTTGCAGCTGTGCGAGTGGCCTCCCTCCCTGCTCTCTTGGGTAAGGGCTGAGATGGGCAAGGCAAGGCTAGAGGTTCCCAGGCTAGAGAGAACCATTATGTGAACCGTTCAGCTGCCCCTTGAGGCCATTAAGGGAACAGTCAAGCATCTGCTAACTCAGCAAGTTGAGAGACCCCCCCCCCGAGTTAAATTCTGGAGCACATACCATTTTTGCACCTCGGTGGGCAAATTTTCTGTTGTATAGAAGGTGCAGTAAAGGTGACAATCTAAATTATGTTTAGCTTAACTAGAGTTGTCAGTCATGTCAAGGCTAGTGTGGAATAAAGGGTTAAGTGTCAGAAAGCTGAGATTTACCGCCAAACCTAGCCTGACATTCTACGCTCATACCTTTGTGAAGGTGTTAGGATTGTTTTGATCATGGTTGAGGTGCCTAATTTAACTGGGGGGGGGGGGAGTCCTTTGGACTGGAATGTGTGAACAGCCACATTGATTCAGTGTGACTAATTGTTTTTTCTAATAAGTGTGCATTTCTGTGCATGAAATGTAAGCAAATATGCAATAGGTCTGACTTGTCCCTGGTATGTGTGCATCTGGGCACCTTTACTCATAAGTAAACTTCATTGATGTTAACTGGACTTAAGGTAGAACTGGGCAACAAATGCTGCACTCCTTTGACCCCCAATGTTCATTTTCTGTGTTCTTTCCTGCAGGCTGAGTGTGCAAACCCACTAAGGTAAAGTGGGATTAGCTAATTTGTAGTTCAGGGTGTTGGGTGAACCAAACCAACGTGGTTCTTTTATGATCCAATGCCTTGTGCAAACCCATGGAATTGAGATAAAAAAACCTGTGATTCAGTTAACCACAGATTAGCACTTTGTGCAAATATAGCCGTGATGTTCTGTTTAGGATGGTTTGTTTCCAAACATGCTTGTAATCGGTTGAAGATAGTGGCAAAACATGGGGCTGTTGGCCTGGAGATTTTGCTTCCTCCCTCAGCCAGGCACACTTTTCCCTCTTTCCGATGGGCACAATGACAGATTTTTGAACAGCTCCTAGTTATTTGGAAGCTGCCTCTGATTCTTCTAGCCTTTCAGAAATGGTCCAGCGAGAAGAAGCCACCTCTGGCTGATGGATCATTTGTTGTGCTTGAGAAGGTTAAAGATAAACATTCCCTTTGCAGACAGTTTAGGGTTTAAATCTATTTCTTTCATGAACAAGTCTCTGGAATCTTCTGTTGCTCTCTGAACAATAACCAGTGATGCTTTGAGAGAAGGGATGTACTTTCAAATTTGTGAAATGGAAATGGGATGCAGAGGCACAAGTTTTGCCAAAGTTGTGGCCCTTGTACAAATTAAAAGAGAGAGAAAAGATGCTTGTAATTACAAAGCCATGTCCTGTTCTAGAAGCTCTGTATTCTCCCACTGTTAGGAAAGAGGGATTGAATATTTTGTGAGAATAAATGTTTACTCCAAGGAGATCCTTTGCCATTCATTACAGCGAAAATTGTATTCGCATGGTGCACCATTCCAGTCAGTACTAATGAAAGCTTCATGAATGACCACACCATATTCCCAT